TCCCCGTGATTACGTAATAAAGTAAACGTCGTTTTAACCCCTTTAGTCGGCGCGCTATCGACCGCCGTTCGAATTAGTTCGGTGCAAGTCATGTAAATTAGTCCCGAGTCGTAACTCAGGGGGTGGAAATTGGGGAAAGTGGTGGCAGCAGCGGTGGCGGCGGCGGTAGCGGCAGCGATGGTAACGGCAATGTCGGGGCCAAGACAGCCTTATTGCCGGTGGCGACGGGTTAGAATGCCTGAAATATTACTATGCCAATCGGGTTGTCCTGGCGCGATGGCGGCGACGCGGTCACGGTGCGATTAAGTAAGTTTCTTTCTCACTGAATAAAGGTGTCCCCAAGGTAACAAGCTGGAACCAAATAGCGCAGAGACGGTCCCCACATATTCCCAACTGAATTATTCACTCCAGCGAAGCCTCATGATTCACCCAACACTAATTTTGCACGAGCCAACAACGTGTGGTCTATAAATGTTTATTTAATTGGAATTCTGAAGTACTCTACACGTATTTATATCTGATCATGTCGTTTTAAAATTAAGGAAAGACGAATATGATATTTTACGTGCTGAATAAACAAGCTTGTTCTACTTTTGCTTTATTTATGATAAATCATTCGATTGAAGATCGAGAGGTTGTGAAATCTCACTTATTCTGTAAGTAGATAAGCTAGACTCTTCAGGAAAGAGATATTGTTGTGCGAGGTTTCTGTTTGAATTGGAATATTTGTGCGCTTACTGACTCCACGCGAGCTACCGAAGCTTGTGGTGTTTCTGTCTGCAACGCTGAGTCTACATAAATATATGATAACTCATGTAACTCAATTTCATGAAAAATGGGATATATCCCGATTCCAATGTTTTTCAAATTCAATTTGATCCGCTTTTACGTAGAAAAGAAGAATTTTATTAAAATATCTAAAAATTAGTTGGATATACAGATCTGAAAATAATTTTATCGGATAATCAAAATTATGTAGAACGCTCGAGTATAATGAGCAATGTTGTAAAAAATTTTGACGTTCTAGCAATCTGCTTGAGCGTTCTACATAATTATTTTGATACCTATCAAAATTACTCTCAACTCTGTATACGTATATAGCTATTAAGTTTTTTAATGTTTTGGAAAAACCGTCTCTTTTAAAGTTTTTTTCGTATCTGTATTTTTCCATTTCTGTATATCCACAAATATTGAATGTACAGAGAAATTACAGTAAATCTTGAAAAGCACGATAAGAAATTGCTTTTCCCAAAATAGCAGTAAAATCCTCATTTTATCCCAGACCGCTCGCGCTTTATTCGTCAATAAATTTATGATAAAGCTGAAATTACGAGCGATTGAGGTATATGGAGCGTATGCATGCGGCATAATTCCGTAATCGATCTTGAATTATTGAGTGGAAGTAAAACTGTAGGGCAGAATAATATCGGCGAGGATTTCACCGCGGGCAGCAAGATAGAAATCGGCTTTAATTAATTTCATTATGCGGCTCATCGCCGGATGGCCGGAATCTCTACTGGAATGAGGATGGAAGAGTGGCGGTTTGTGGCAACGTGGTGCAAAAATGCAACACCACTTTTTAATTAATAAATGTCATTTACGAGGCGGATATCCATCCGTTACTCCGATTGATGCTATTCAAGACTGACAGACAAGTTTTCGTCCTAACATTCCGCTCTGTGTTCGACGTCACGTCGGAATACGCCGTTCTCGCGAATAATTACCGCGATCCGTAAATGGACGTGCGCAAATTACTTGAAAAGAACGACGAAGATAGATCGTTTCCGTACGAATATTTTCGGTCTATACAACTTGACGCTTATCGCCGTTCATATCGCGCCGTAAATCAAGGAACTTCCATAATGTATGATCCTATAAATACAATAACCAAAACCTCCGATGGTTGTACGCAGCTAACATTTACCATTACCGATTTGCGCGGCGGCGCTTCCAGTATCCGCAAAACCATCGTTCGCGGTCATTTTGCACCGTTATCGACAATCGCCTTACTCGCGCCTCTATAAATTCTCAGTCACATCGCGTGCAACGTACAGGTATAGCCGAGGGCAACGCAACGGATCCGCAATTTTCTCCGGGTTCAACGCACTCCGGATGAAAATCTTTATCCAAGCGGCTACGGGAAAATTCAGAGGATACGCGAATAACAATATACGCCACGCTTTGCATCAAATATACGGATGTTTGAATTAAACTTCACGAGCCAATACTGTTGCTCGTCCGATATCGAAGACAGTAATACTCATTCAATCTGTCGCGAAATAACTATTATTTCTCTCGAATTTAGGAATCGATTTCCGAAATACATTAGCATATTACATTCCCATTCCATTAATATTTTATAAGATTATTACGACTTTAGCAAACTCGGAAAGAACAATTTTGCTGAAGTGTCTGAAAATTTAACTGGCTACAGATCTGAAATTAACTTTATGGGATCATCAAAATAATTACGTAGGACGTTCAAGCTGTTAGATATCAAAATGTCATTGCAGCATTGCTCATCATACTCGAGTTTTTTACACAATTATTTGGATGGTCTACAAAATTATTTTCAAATCTGTATCTTAAATTTTTTTAGTTACTTCAGCAAAATCATTCTTTTCGTACATAACAAAAATTTAATAATTGAAATGATGATATTAATTTTAATATCTTTAATAATATCAATTCTAACTCAGCAGACAAGCCGATGTTATTTATTGTCGTTTTGACGTCAAAGTGACAAGTAATATCAGCTTAATTGTTTGCTAAGAATCTTTAAAGATATTAATTCTATTATCATTCTAAAACTGTTACGACGAAGAGAATACTAATTTCAAAACCATTTTATATCGGAAAGTTACAGGTCGATATTTCTATAGTATATTTCTATAGCTCGACATTCTATATACAACTGGCGACAATTTTCTGAACAACTTCAATTCCTCGTACGCGAGCGAAGTGCACGCCGATGATGTATCGCTTTATAACAAAGAGGATTTATCAACGTCAATTTGGTGTGCAGGAAGGTACGCGTCTTGCGGCCAGCGACCCGCTATAACGAAGAAACGAGCAGCGGTCGAGGGCAGCCGAGCGCTTAATTTTACTCGCGCCGTTATCGCGAGGACGTTAGAACAACGAGTGGGGTTAATTAATTGCGGACCTTTTTTAATTTGTCTTGCTAGACGCCGGGATTACCGCGAAATTTTTAAACCGATACATCCAGTCGAGAAGCGGAAGCGGTAAATTGAAGATACTTTGTTGAAATGCGAAAGGGGACTTGGGAAAAATTTATTTAACTCGGAAAAGTCTGCGATGATAAAGAAATGTGGTAGATAAAGCGTATATACTCTAAAAAAGACTCTCAGCTCACAGATAAGAAGAAATTTATTCCATATATAATGTCGAATTAGTTTATTCGTTTTCATACATTTTTCTACACAAACTTACAAGGCGACTTAGGGAGAGTTTACGTATAAAAAAAATCTGCGAAGCCTCATTGCGAAGTCAGCCTTGAGAAACACTTGAATCATCTTGAAAAAGAGCGTGCAAGATGGGACGCAAGATTAATTGTCTCCGCTCTAAATTAAGTTATTCACTTTGTTATGGTACCTGAGCTATCGCGCGGCAAGATACATGGCGCGTGATAAAGTAGTAAGAGAGCGGAAAAGAGAGAGAGGGAGCAGTAGTAGGATTAATGAGGAGAGGGAGAGTTTATGATCTCACGCTTAAAATTCGTCATACCGGTTATATGATTGCAAAGGGCTGCAGAATCACCTTTTCAATTCGGTATGTAACTTAATCACATGCTCAAATATTTTTTTTCTCTAGATGAATTTATTATTTCTGTTCGTTTTATCCGGAAGTAGGTAGTGTGATTTAGCTTAACATTAGCAAGCGCGTCTCGGTCATTTTGACGGAAATATATTTATGCACATATACACTATTTAATACCAATAGAACAATGGTAATTCCCTCAGTTAAATAACATTTGGTTATTTTTAACTTCCGTGTATGTTAAAATGTAAATCAATCAAATTGCTATGGTTAAATTGCTAGTTTCAGAGTAAACAATATCCATATTAACGTTTACACTTAGTAAATAGTAATCTAAATTGGAATTAAATTTAATACATTTCTTGAATTGAATTATTTAACTCCATTGTTTTAGTCGAATAAAGTAACGACACATTGAGAAACAGTTACGATCTAGAAATAATTAAAAATAACTCAATGAGTATAATTATATAAAAATAAAATTTAAAATAACTCATGAGTATAATTTGACATTTTGAATTTAGTGCACAAAGTCCAAGGTGTTCAATTGTTATAATAATAAAGACTTACTAAAGATTGAGAGATATAAAAACGAAAAAGCAAAATGACTGATGTACAGCCCTTTCTCGGATAAATATAATAAAAACTATTTTTGTATGGCAAATAAAAGCAATAATAAGTAAACTAACAACTTTATACTCTTCAACAAATGTAGGAAAAGTACACAGAGATATAGGAATCAGCGCATTATTGTGTAAAAATATTATTCAGAAGATAGCCGTACGAGGTTCGATTTGCTTTTGTCAATCTCAATAGAACAAAAATATATACACATATTATGTCTACATAATCACATACTTTTGTGAGTATGGCAACCATGGATCGAGCAAATTATCAGCTCAATCATAAAGATTTACCATCACGGTTGATCGGCCGGAAGGATCAAAAAACTTCTATAAGATGTTATAATAAAAATTAACTGTATAATGACCAATAAAAAACTTTGATAGAAACCACCGGAAATAAAACAATATTAACGTTTATGTCTATTAAATTAAATTAAGGCTGTGTTAATGGTATTGATGAATTTAAATGAAATAATAATATTTAAAAATTCTCTCTCTTACCAGCAAATTTTACGAAAGTCATTTCAATATTTTTTTGCAAACATTTTACAAAAAGATAAGAAACGTTATTTAATCAATAAATTGAATAATTTTCAGTCAACCCCTTGGAAGTGAAAATAATTGACGGAAACCGACCGCTGTCGGCGGGCAAGAAATACGACCTGGTATGCACAACTTCCGGTTCCAGACCACCAGCTAGCGTCACCTGGCGAAGGAACGGTCAACGCTTAGTGGATTCCAAGGAGACCGTAAGTGTGTTCCTTTGTAGAATAATTTTCGTTCTTACAGTCAACGTATATTTCACCCAGCCATTCTCGGCAGTGCATAAACTTGAGTTTGTAGTTTTGAGTAAGAGAGAATCCTTGATCTCTTTATCAGGAATATCATGTTAATTCATGTGAATATTTAACTCTTTTAAACAAATGGAAGATTATGATATTTCTTTAATGGAAATCTTAATGAAAGATCATGCTAAAAAATACATTATAAATCTATTTAGTTATTTTTTATAATTTATAATATATTATTTTCCTAGTTATGATGTTTTAAATATAAACGTAAACAAATATAATAAGATAAATACCAAGATAAACTATCAACATAAATGCCTTGTTAAGTTATTTTATCGTTTATGTTCTGTAATACATTAAAAACGCATCTGTCACTGCGAGAAAGTTTTGTCCTACGCGTGTCTAAACTTTCGAAATTTTTCTTACATATTTACTGTGTTTTCGCCAAACTGTAAAAGATATCACAAGAGTTCTAGAGAGATATCTTTTTCCTCTATTTTTATTTAATTTATATTTAACTTAAGAAAAGAAACTTATCTATGTGATATATAAATCGGAAAATACGAGAGGAACGTATTATATACCTTTTTTAAAATTGATACATTTATGGTCGTGTGTTATTGACGATAATTCGCGGATTAATCTCCTCATTAACGAAAGACGATTAATCTCTCACTATACCTCGCCTCGTCTAGTTGACATGTGTCTCCTAATTTCGCGGCGGAGCAATTTCCACGTTCAATTATCGTGGATTAAACGACATTAAAAAAGACATAGGCTGACTACGTGATTGACTGGCGTTTACAGTGAAGCCTATCGTATAGGGATTATGTTTAATTGAAATAAAACTATCCTACAGCTATAAGTCGAGATATAGTCCTAATTTAAGCATCATTGAGATAAAAGAGAATACGATGCGGCAATGATTTAATGAGATTAAACGTCAAGAATATTCAAATATAATTAAATTACATACAACGACAAAATATAAGTAAATTGCTTATATAAACTATGTTTATTTTAGTTAAGAATATTCTTAATGTATTATCCACTTTTAGTTGCAAACAAACTATCTGTTCTCAACTGATTCTTCTCGTTCATTAATCTCATACTTTTTGTTTCATTTTATTTATCGATTTTTCTTTTAGTGAAAAATCTTCTCGGAAAAATTTTTAATTATATTAATTTCTTAATTAAACATTACTTTTCAGACGTGAAATTAGGATAGATAACACGTTAGTCGTAACTAGGATCTACAGTTTTTCTCTTTCTCTTTTTCTAAAAAGAGAAAAATATTAGGACAGTATGTTGGCAATGTTATAAAACAATTGTTTATTGAATAGTTTGAACGTTTTGTTCACAAAATATGAAATTCCCTCCGTATAAATCTTGCATCGATTTACCATGGAATTGAAAATAAAATGAAAAAAGCTAGAAACTGTTGTATAACAGTGTTACACAATCGAGTCGTACGCTGTGTTCTGATAAAAAAATGTAACATTTCGTCGTTACGGGATTAATCAACGGCAATGAAGAGGTACGTCGCAAATATCGATAAATCTAATTACGCGCAGCTCGAATAAAGAATATCTCACCGGGGCGATTACGATGATACTTGATCTATGAGAATGAAATCCTCTCGTGCGCGTGCATTCCCCCCCCCCCTCTCTCTCTCTCTCTCTTTCTCCTTTCCGTTCCGATACAATTCATTAATTCATTCAATTTCATTCCGAGCGCGCGGCGAAATAAATTTCGATTTAACGTAAATCGAACGCTCTAACCGGGGCGCGGCGTTTCTGTCGCGAGAAACGGATGAAGGTATTTCGTATACAAAGCAAACAAACGTCAATGGAAACGCGGATTAGCGAAAGAAATGAAAGAACGTACTTTCGAATAAATTGACCCGTTGTCAGGCGAAATCGAGCATCGGCCTCTGTTTATTCTACTTCGATTTCCCCGCTCCAACCCCCGGCAAAACACATGGTATGCGCGCAGGGTACATGGATGAGAGGTGACGCACGTAGGAAACGGTGCGCAAACAACGCGACGCGCGTCGTATCCGCCACGTTTTGATCCGCACTTAAGACGACGACGTAAATATTTGCCGGGTAGCGGCGGATTAAGGACGTGGGCGAAGGGTGCGAAGGGCCCCGTGCTGTGTACGGGACAGAGAAAATATTGTTTCAAAGTCGATACCCGCGCTAGACGACGCGACAGTGAAGATTGTTTCGCTGCTTACGTAAGAAAGTTAAACACAGAAGCGGCGGGGGTTGAAGGGATGGAAAATACGACGAGAGAACCGGTATAATCCACGATGGAATGTCTCGACCGAAGAGGCCTGTTCTTCTTCTTCCACTTTTCCCGCTTCTTACTAATCACAGTTTCCTCAGCGAGTTCCTCGCTTCATCTCTCGCAGCTCTTCGCGCGATTACGCAACCGCGCGTAAAAATAGTTACCGTGATGTATATACAGGCTGTCTCACAACTACCGAATTTCCTCGTAAGGACATATTCTTGAGACAAATATAATTTTGAGACAAAAGTTCTAATACGAAAATGTCGAAGCTACGATAATTTGTTGAATTCTATGCTAACTTTAAACGCTTATAAGCAAAAAATCATTTTACTTTTAAAGCCTCTATTATTATTTCTGGATTCTTTTGAACACGTTCTAAGACGAATATCCTAATACGAAAATATCGAAGCTATAATATTTTTTGAATTACACATTATCTTTAACTAATTATAATTCAAAAACTATTGTAGCCTCGACATTTTTGTAGGATTTTCGTCTTTAAGAGGAAATTCGATAGTCGTGAAACACCCTATATACGAGTATATTATATATATATACATACAACATTCCGTAAACGGGGGTCTCGCGCTGCGAGCATTTTTCCCCCGTATCGTATCATGGAATTGCAGCAATTATGTTAATCGATTCGACCTCGCCGGAATGCGCAGTCGGAAATATATTTTTAATGAATGGCGCATCTCTCATTTCGTAATTATCTTTGCGCGGGCCACCGCGTGAAACGGCGCGGCGCGCGGAGCTCTCCGCCGCCATCGGAACGAAATTAGAGCGCGAGTCCGCTACCGTTGATTTATTCCCTCGGCAAGACGCGAAATTTATTATTCGCGCGCGCTCTCTGCCCCGCGATTATTTTTTAATCGCGCGACAGAATCGCGGAGAAGAGGGAGGAAAATCCCCGCATCCGTCGCGCTCTCGCGCGAGATTGAAGCCTCGATTGTGTGAGTCCACTTTTTCCGACACACCGCGGGAAAGTTGAAAAAGCGCTCGGAATATTTTGATATTTTATGAAAAATTTTGCGTTATATTTCGTTCAGGAATATGAGTAATGTGGGCGATGCGTTTTTCTGACTATCCTCCACACTATTCCTGTTTTATGCGTGGAGCGTAATCCCTAAACTCAGTTCATTGGACCGGAGCGAGCGTTTGCACGAGCATGGATGTTTAATTCACGAAACGTAAAGCAGAGTTATTACGGGTGCTTCATAATCCACGAACTTGATTTTTCGTAAGCTACGAAACTTTTAAATAGCGTAAAATTATGAATTACGCTTAATTTATGGTATGGGAATAACGAGATATTAATTAAAATATGAAATATTAGAGATGCAGAAGCGAAACTTGAATTTTACATGATTTGTAACAAAAAAATCCTCACATGCCGTCAGTCTGAATTAACTACCTGGATTTTATTTTATACCATAATATTAAATTGACGAGACGCAATATAAATTTTGTTACACAATTTTATCCAGGGGGATAATAGCGTTTAACAAAGTAGTTTTCATTTTAGCGAAAATCGAAAAAAAGTAAAAAAACAAGAAAAAAAAATATTTCACGTTTTTTTTTCCTTCGACACCTCGGAGCTATTCGACAAGTATTTGCTCGGATAACAAAGGGAAAACAATTCTCATACGAATGTTTTCGAGGTCGTACACTGATCGATTGTTATAAAATTGGTTCACACGTTCACCCACGCGCTTTATTCGGTTTGTTTTGTGATCAAAATCGATAGTAAAAAAAAGCTCGCTTTCCGTCGTTAATACGCGTTATTTACTCGTCACTGCTATCAAACGGCTCACTATTTACGAAACGTTAACTGGCGAATAATTCATTTACGAAAAAAAGGCGATTTTGTCATGTTTTTATCCATTCTTATACGCACGTTTGCAAACCTCCTACGGATTGTACGGATAAAGAGAGATAAATTTGGACGATCGTATATATACCTATAAACGCGACGAGACGGAGTGGTTAACCGGCCACTCGACATATTGGACGTTCATTAAGGCATCGATTCGCCTTAATTACAAGCGCAAATTCGCGGACTCTGCGCGACTCTGATTTAAATTATTATATTTCCACGCTTAACGACGCTTTTACCACGGGTTCGTACCTGCGATAACGATAATTCTCCTGCCACCCTCGCAATGAGACACACTTGTGCCGTACAGAGGTACACGTGCGCAAGAGAGAACCTTATTTTATGGTCACTTTAAGGAGCTGTACGAGCCGTGGTCGAGCTTGCAAATTACATTGAGTGCGCGTCTCGACGGTGTAAATCGAATCGGAAGTCCTTGGGCGCGCGGTTTTCCACGGAGATGCACGTCTGATTATTCAGAGGCGTTTACTACTTGAACAAGTTTCCAAGTTAAACGAATCGATATTCGCGGTTTTAAATCGAACATTATAATCTCAACTATCATAAATATTTCTTACCATTAATTTTTTCTACAATTTTTTGTCCCATGTTTAAAGAATAAAATAAAGTATTGGATTGGAGGAAAAGTTCTGCGGTATCTAGGTAGCTCAAAATTATATATACAATATCTATTAAAAATAATGAAAATGTAAATTTTAAAAAAGGATTTTGAAGCTCGAAATCTCTACTTTCGAATTACTATATTTTTTGAATTTATATGAGTTTTGTAATTTTTATATATATGAGCTCAAAAAAGGGAAATTTTTCTTCTCACTTTGTGAGTCTGTTACGTGTCAAAAAAAAATTGGTGAAAATTGTCCACTATCTATATCGTAAAAGTTTGGAGTTTTTTTTACAAAATCGTTTTTTAAAAATGTTTCTACGATTTTTTATTCTTGAGTTATTCACGAGTTAAATAAACAAGAGCATTCTGAATTTGATTGCTCATAACTCCATTAAAAATTATCTTACTGCAATTAAAAAAACAGATTCTTAAAGAAACGTTGCTCTAGTCGAATAGTATCATGCTAATTTTTTAAATGTAAAATATATAGAAATTTGAAATTAAAAATTTTTGTGATATTACTATCCTTATAATCATTGCGTAATGGAAAAAAGGACAGTAATATCACATTTTTAGCTCAACTGTATATATTCTATTATTTTTTAAATTAACAATTACACCACTTGATAGAGCAATGTTTCAGCTTTAAGAATATGTTTTATTAATTACGGTACGATGATTTTTAACAGAGTTATGAGCAATTAAAATTAAAATGCTCTTTTATTTCATCCGCGTGTAACTTGATAACAAAAAGTCGTAGGAACATTTTTTAAAAACGAACTTTTAGAAAAAACTTCAAGCTTTCGCGTCAGATAATTTCACAACAAATATTATATATTCTGTATATAATAATATATATAAGAATAAATATATTTTGTATTTGAGCTCTAACAAAATTCCACAGAACTATTTCTCCAACTAATTATAAAATGAACTCTGAATATAAAATGTTAGATTATTAGCTTACATTCAAAGAACAGCCTTTTTGCTGTGAAGAATATATCACGATATATCACATGTATCATACTAACAGTAAATAAAATAACGGGACCCTATATGTGCCTATTAAGCTTTGTGATTTTTTTCTAATTTTTTGGTGAGTCTAGAAATGAAAATTAGTGGTCACATTCCAAAGAAGGAACATTTCTGAATGTTAATAAAAAATATGAAACAAATATTCATATAGATAGAGTATATTTAAAAAGAAGTAGCATTACGCGCATATATTGGATACATATGTACTCAATATGACCTAAGTATATTTCTTTCTTTTATAAAAAAAAATGTTAGAAAAATAGAAAATAAAATAATCCATTGTTACTTTTATAATATTATAAGTTTATTAATATATTGACATAGAAGAATATACAAAGAACTATTTTTCAAGCAATGCTCATTTACTTATTTAGTTATCTGCTTATCTATTCACGATGTTTAGCAAGTGAATTAAAATCCATAATCTGAAATAATAACAAGAGCACAAAAAAAACGTTACAATCGATGTGTGTACTATCAGTATACTATCAGTATACCATAGTATTCCACATTAGTTCCACACAAGAAGTTTCTTCTCTTTGATTATAAAAAAAAACATGACAAAAATATAAACTAAATATATAGTATTGTAAAGTATGAATATAGAGCTACGATAACATCAACTACTGAAATTAATAACAATCTTCTGATAGTTTAGGAAGCAATTATTTATCTATGAAATATTACGCTATCATATCACAGCAATCTGCATTTTGCTTTACTGACGATAACAGAATGAACAAATTGAACAATATAAACTGATGCAATCGAATCAGGCGAACAATCTGCACCACCTATTACTGCTATCTGTTGAATTAATCGTATAATACGAACAAATAGGTGTTTTGACATGCCTATATTAATTCCAATTACCTTAATTAATTATTAGATAAAAGATTGAGAATTTCATTTAAAAAAAATTATAATTTGTTTGTGAAGAATAGCTACAAATGCACGTCTTTAAAAAAAATTGTTCTTTAATTTAAAAAACTGATAGATGAAGTAATACATTAAAAATTATATTATCTATATGCATATCATCCATACTACTTTAGAAGTTTCATCATGCATAAAATAAAGTTTCTTAGTACTGACATATGCGTTTTTGATGCATTAGGTAAAGAAGACAGTTAAGATATGGTATAAACAACATAGAAAAATGAGAAAGCGTAAGATCCTTATTTATTACTTGCGTACTTCCTTACATAAGTTGCGGAAATTTATCTGACACATATACATTGAATAATTCAATGAAACTCGGACATAATGATGATTCTGCCCCAAAAAAAAGATAGAAGTCACTTCTTTATTTATTAAAAAAGTAGGCCTATCCCTCGAGAAGGGTAACGAGAAATTGATTGAGAATTTCGACTATGATTAGCTCTGACCCTCCAGGTCAGATGATAGATACGCTTTTAATATATAGGGGTTGAACGGGTTACTTTCGCCGCCATTGACGACAGTGCGGATAAGCAAACGGTCGTGTCGTGATGAAGAAAAAGAGAATAAATGCGACGAGTGTCGGCGGGGTGGACGGGCGGAAACTGGGGACTCCGATGAACGTTATCATAATGTTGTTACAGACCTCCGTCGATGGGAACACGACCACCAGCGTTTTATCTTTCATGGCGACGAAAGCAGACGCAGGCAGACACTTGTCGTGTCAAGCTGAAAATCGAATCATGGGAATCGCGCCGATAGAGGACGGCTGGGTACTCCAGATACAATGTAAGCTCATAAACGACGACAGGCCCCGAATCCAGCTATGTTCCCCGGGGCGCGCTCGCGGCGCTCTTTCCTTATTTATTCAGACGCCCGGGATTTCCGGTCGATTTTGACGATTTATCGAAGGTCGTGATTCGCAGATACGCCAGAGACGCAGATCCAGCTCGGCACGTCGCTGAATCCTAACACCATACGCGAGGGCACGGACGTCTACTTCGACTGTCTTATACAGGCCGAGCCATCGGTGTACAAAGTGGAATGGCGACATCAGGTGAGCGAAAACACAATTTTATAATGAATTTTGTTGACCGTACTAGTGCATGTTAAAGCCGATGTACACTGAT